ACGCAGCTCTTGTTTAGCCACGAGGAGGAGCTCTCCCGACTTCGCCACGACCTCCAACGGGAAAGCCAGCTGAATGTGGAGAACCTGCGCGACGAGATGGGCGTGAGGCACCGCGAGGCTTTGGACGATTTTGAGGATAAGCTGCGGTCGGTGGAGAGCGAGAGAGCGGCGTTAGCTTCGGAGAGACTCGCGCTGCTCGAGGAGATCGTTGTGTTGAAAAACGACATGAATCGGGCGACGGAAAGCGAGGAGCTGCAGGCGGAAGTCGAGCGCTTGAGAGCGGAAAGCGAAGAGAAACAGTCGCACGCAGCCGCGAGGAATGAGCTGTCAACCGAGCGCGGAAAAATCCACCGCCTTTCCTCGGAAAACGAAGAAATGTGTGCGCGACTGAAAGACCTACAGGATGAGATCGAGAAGCAGAGAAACACGTTCTCCTTCGCTGAGAGGAACTTCGAGGTGAACTACCAGGAGCTGAAGGACGAGTACACGTGCCTGGTGAACACTAAGCTACAGCTCGAGCAGCGCTTGGAATACGAGACGAAGCTCCAAGATCTACACACGAGACACGAGGAGGTGGATGGGAAGACACTGATGGAGAAAGACACCACCGAGCTGATGGAGAAGCTGGAGACAGCCGAGAACGAGAAGAGGAGCTTGGGAGAGCGGCTCTCGCTGATGGAAGCGGAGCTGGAGACGCTGAAGCGAGGCAGAGATGAAGAGCTGGGATCTGACCGCAGCGTCGCTGGTGGGCTGAGCTCTGTGGAGAAGACGCATCACGCGCACATCACATCTTCACGGGAGGAGCTGGATGCTCTTTGCTCGTCCCTGCCGTACAAAGACCCCTCGTCTCCGACAGCAGCGCAGGAGAGGAGGGAGAGAGAGACGCATGCAAGGACTTCACACACACACACAGCGGCGCGTGAGGAGCAGCTTTCAGCGTCGCAGGTAAGAGCCGCTGCTGTTTGTTTTACATCGACCCTCGCGCTGCAAACTCGCGATGCAACAGTTGGTCTGCGTTTATCTGCATTGCACTGCATTCAAAATGCACCAGCCATTGCTTGATTCGATGTAGATCTCATTTCTCAGATGATTTATCCGTGCAGCACTGCAGGTGAACACTGTGGGAGGAATTAATGTGCGTTTAAGGAACGAGAGATGATTTCGAATCGGCCAGAGTGCAGGGCGATGGAAGGGCGAGAGAGATTGTGGTGTAAAAGAGAGAGAGACAGATGAGCTTTATTCTCCTGTTTGTGTGATGCTCTTTGATCTCAGCAGCTCTGAAGGAAAATGAGTGAATTATAGACCGCTTTAAAAGGCCATCGTTTACACTTTACCTCTTCATTTTTTCCCCAAAACACCATTTATGGGTGAATCTCATGCAAACGGTTCACATTTCACCCCAAAATCAAAAGATGTTTTTGTGTAAAAAAAAATCATGTGTATATCCGTAGCACATTTAAAGCCCATTATGGTTTTGTTTTGTTTTTTGCATTTTTATGTTATTTATTTATATTATTATATTATTGTTTTTCATGACAATTAAGCACATTAACCCCCTAATTCTCATTGTCATAGTAAATCTGGATTATTTTTATTCTATTCATTTTTTATTTAATTTTATTTTTAAATTAAACCATTTTTAAATCCGCAATTATACAAATTATTATGCAGTTTTTTTATTAAATGAATGGAAGCACAAATATTACCAGGATGTGGAAATAATTCACAATGTGGATTATCTAATTCTAATCTAATCATTTTCACATTACTGTCATGAGAGAGAGAGAGAGAATTTCATTTATTTTTTATTTGTCAGTAATGATAATGTGGAAATTAATTATGATAAAAAAAATAATGTCACATGGCAACAAATCTTAATGGTCCTAAAAATAGGCGTAGTTGCTTTTATGAAGAAAAAACTATATTATTATAAATAGTGAAAAGTATAAATAAAAAAGAAAATAAATATAAATAAAATATAAATATTTCACTTTTTTAAAACTTGAAAAAAAAAATATTTCAAATATGACCCAGACATGTTCTTTGCAGTTTTGTGACAGTTTTTGTAACACTAATGGTAACAGTTTTTTCAGATTGTTTTCCACCCTCTCTCTAATCTTTAATTCTCAATTAAGTGGGCTGATTTTATGAATTGATATCATTTCCTCGGTGGTTCTTCAGTGCACGTGAAGGCTCTGAACACTGAATAGCTGTTGATATGTGCAGGTGTCTGTCGTAATCACGCAGGTTTGTGATGGAGGGGTTTTGTGCGGGTTTGATGGCTCTGTGTGTGTTTGTGATCCGCAGGTGGAGACGGGAGACGCTCTGGCCGATGGAGACGCTGTCAGAGCCTCGCTCATGATGCAGCCGCGGGAAATGGACGGCGCTGAGCATGTAAGTATCCGTCTGTCTGTGAGTCAATCAAACTCTTGCTGTTCATCTTCAGCTTACAGCTGCAGCTCAGCAGTCTAGGAGGAAAAAAAACAGGTGTAGGATTTACTTGGAAACAATTTTCACTCAGGAATTGTTACTGAAGTTCATAAATAACTAAAGAAATGTCAAGTAACGCACTGAAAAATGTGTAAAAATGTGTGTAAATGTGCTGGAGTGTGTGTGTGTGAGTCTACTGCGGTTTAAGTGCTATTAGGTGAATTTGCGTTTTAGTATTAGTGTAGCTCTGACGTTTATCAGAAACCTGCTATTAAACCATTGGCGGTGTTTCGTGTGCAGCAGATTTTTCTCAGTAATTGCTGCTCGATCTCCATCTTTCTGTGATGGTCATTAAAATGCTTGGTTTCTGCCTGTTAACACATC